ACAACAACAACAACAACAACAACAACAACAACAACAACAACAACAACAACAACAACAACAACAACAACAATAATAATGGTAATGGTAGTAATAATAGTAACCCTGTTTAACGTGTGTTTGAATTTGTGATAAGAATTTCCTTTTTCATTTGTTTTATCGATGCAGAGCGTATCGCGTGGTGGGAACAATCGGATGAAACAGATTGGAAAAATTTGTTGATGTGATGAGCATGTGCATCGTTCGTAATTGCTGATGAGATGAACCCAACAAATCAACATGATCCAAAAAAATACATGTCAATTGTTCCGTATTGATCGATCGGCCGTTCTTCACTTCCGTTACGGCACCAATCACATTGACAAGAGACAATATAAATAACGTTTGATACTGGGTAGAATATATGTAATGCATGGGGGGGGGGGTGCCTGTTTATCGCGATATGTGATTAGATCAGAAATGGTTGCCACACTTGTTCTCAAAAGTGCGTCTACCATTTCCTTTATTGTTGCTTGCTTTTTTCTCCTTTGGTTTGCAATGTTCTTTACCGATCTTAAAGTGAGAAGGTTCTCTGCTTGATACCAGACAAGTGTTACAGGTGATAAAAAACCAATAAAGACTTGGATATTTTTGTAATAAAATAATGACTTTTGTAATTAATAATTAATATCATGATATATATTAATATCATACAAACATACACACATAATGTATATATATGGAAATATTTTGATATAAATAGATACATGTATGGCAATAAGTGTAATAAACTTCTAGACGTGTTCTAAAAAAGAAAGCCTTAATAATGGCGTAGTATACTCCAGTTGAGAAATGTGATTGGTGTCGATTGCCGATAACCTTAGTGTTAGGGATAATGCTAACCGAGATGGTAGCAGGGTATACGATCGTAACACTGGACAAGTATTACACAAATAAATTCACGCTATCTTTACTTGCTCAGCCAGGATCTCTGACTAAAACTCCGATTATCTGTCATACGTGCTTAATTTCAAATTCGCCGTAAACAACAAATTCTCTTGAAAAAATAGGAATTCAGTGGTAAAAAAAAGAACCATAATTCTCGTATACTGTACAGTGTTTTTCCTTTCACATGTTAGACATTGGCTGAGCAAAGATAAAAGATAGACCTTATTTTATAAGTAATCGGATGTTTCCGTAAACGTATGATAATTATAGCAATTACCTAACCGACAAAAACGAACCATTAACATCAAAATCTAGTTATAGAAGTTCAGGACATGGAAGACAGAACTTTTTATTATTCTGTTGGGTCAAGCCTTTGGTTAATTAAATGTCCTTATGAAGAATCATTACATGATCGTCCAATCAGACAGTGAATGGTTTATTGCTCACGATTTTCTATCGGAGATAAACATTCCCCCCCTCGGGTTTAATCTATTTGTAATATTCGACGTCATTGTGTTTTTTAAGCTGACTGATAAATGGTAATTCATATCTATTCGATCACGAGCTGTCAATGCCACATGGTACATGAGGGAGAGAGTATGACATAACGTATAAGCTTCTTTTGCCCTCGAAACGATTTATTGGGAAACTGACCTTGTGGAGAAAAGGGTACGAAGATGAGAGACCCACGAGTTTTGATTAGTCGTGAGAAGAGGAGGGGTGGGGGAGCGGCGTGGAGGGATGGGATGGGATGGTATGGTGTGAGGGGGGGGGGGGTTTGGGTGGTCGGGCCTTGGAACGAATCGGATGTATTATGATATATTGTTCATTCTATCATTACCATTATCATAATCATTATTGTTACTGTTATTGTTAATATCGTTAATATTGCTAATATCGTTAATATCGTTATTATTTATTGTTATTATTGTTATTATCACTTGCTATGCGTGGTGCTATTACTTACCATTACTTACTATTGCTTACTGTTGCTTAATATTGCTTACTATTGCTTACTATTGCTTACTATTGCTTATTATTGCTTACCATTGCTTATTATTGTCTATCACTGTTTATCATCTCTGTTGTAAAGTCTTCTCGTCAACGCCATGTCTTTATAGGTGGAATTATTTTACTGGTTTTAGTATGCCCAAATTCTCACCGATATTCCGACATTTCAGTCTGTTTATTTTAGAAGCTGAGAATGTGGCATGAATAATGACTAATTATTACTTTATTGGGCATGTGGACTGCTTGCAACTATGCATAACAAATAAAGTGATATTACGCTATGCGATATAATAATAACCCCCGATATATTATGTTAAAACGATGGAAAAGTCTTGACATTTGTTTGTTTGATTATTTATGGATTTAACTGCGCTTTGTTAATGTTCGATTTAGAAATATCGAAGACATCAATCTAGTTATATTTAGTGGTAAGTAGAGGCCATGCCGAACTTTGATGGAATGATGTGATTACAGACAATAGGCTTTTGTGTGAAGAAGAATAAAGGCCACCTGCTTTTGTCCGTTGTATTACCCTGGTTTGGGCCCTCCCCCTCTTCTCTCTCCCTCCTCTCTCCTTGTTGCGTTGCCTATGTTACTCTTGCGTTGACTGCAAAGAGTCCTTATGTTGGATCAAAAAGGTGATTCCATGCTATTCTTATCACCCTAACGCTTTTGTTTCGTAATGGGATGTGATGAGGAGGACAACAAAGAGGGCTTGTGCGAAACACAATAACAGAATAAATATAGAAAGATGCATTATATTAGTAAATATACTGCATACTGTAATAAAATATACACACATCATCTGTTACTGTATTTTAATTTTAATTTATTCATTTATTTACATTTGTCTATCTATTATTTGTAAAACAATATAAATATCTTGTTGACTATAAATATACCTTATTCTGTAACATATTTTTATCGGCTTTTTATGTCAATCCATTTTTATTCGCTCCTTTATAAAAGGGCAACACCGCGTGGAAGTCTTTCCCGTTCAAAAAATAATTGACTGCGCTAACGTGATAGTTTCCCACCGGAAAAAACTCTGTTATATAAAAAGCCCCCCCCCTCTCACCAATTTTATTAAACGTAACTGATCAGAAAAATATCTAGTAAGCATAATCAATCTCTCGGAAACTGCGAGTCTTTTGGTCTTTTTGTTTTGCTTGCTCACATCCTATTCTATTCTCCCATCCGAAACGCTTTGTTCTTTTCAGCCTTTTATACCTAATCTTGTCTTCAACACTTGAATCTTTCTCAATCGGCAATCATGATGCACTCATCTACTCTCTTTGACACAATATACGACGACGACGCTCCCATGATCACTCCCACCGGTGTCTATACAACCGAAGTCTATCCAGAGGCGTTCATTCCCTCATCCAACTCGTCTTCCCAAACATCCTCGCCAAACGTATCGCCCACAATTGCTCCTCGTGAACATTTCGAGGACAAGGACCTCAACGGGTTTTCAATAACACCTCCACCAGCGAGAATCATTCGTAAGCCGAGTAAGACTAGGGTGGCTAATCGCAAGAGCGTTCTTTTGGATCCAATAGTCGAAGAGCAAGAGAAATGAGATGCTTGAAAGTGTTGGTGAAAGCGCAATGAGTTTCGATTTTTCTGTGGATGGATCGATCGGATGATATGTTTGTTTTGACTTTTGTCTGTATATATATACATATATATATACATGCGCAAGTTTTTTAATCTTTTTCTTTTATCTCACCTTTCACCTCACCTTTCACTTCATTTTTCTCACCTCACCTTTCACATCATTTTTCTCACCTCACCTTTCACCTCATCTCTCACCGTTTTTCACTCTCTTTTCCCAATTTATTGCTATATTGTATATTGTTGCTATTTTGCATCCTTATTTCGTCGTATCATCCCATACTTTCCTTTTATCTCGTTTGATAGCTCCATCTATTACCTAGTCACATCTTTTTTTTTTCTTTTCTGTTCTCTTTTTTTTCTTCTGTATATTCTAATTCATGCATTCAACAAGTATTTCAAGGAATCCTATATTCTATTTGTATATACCAAAGCCATCATTAGTTGCGTTCATGTTCATCCCATTTATTCACATATCTCTTGTATTGATATAATTTCTTTGAACATCAATGCTTTCATTTTCTGATCTGTTTATCTCAAGTATAGGTCATATTTTACCACACATATAACGAGATCTGCGTTGTATATCCTATATGTTATTGTTGTCGATTGGGTGTTTAATTACTACAAAAGAGACTGGCGTTTGACATGGTCCTTTTATGATGAGAACGTCTTGCTCTATGTTCTTTATTGAATAAAATTGCTCCTGATTGATATTGAACAAGTTAATTTGCGTGTAGCTATTGTCTATTATCAAAATCCTTCCATGTGAATATTGACATTAAAGATTGCACGTTCTGTCGTTATGACAGAATGCGCCTCACTTAAATTCTGTGTGAATTAGGTGACAAAGATATACCTTACGTTTTGTAGTTTAGGTTTGGGCAAATTGTTTGTAACAATTTCATAACGCTAAGCTGGCATCAGTTAGTGCACATCCCCAAATTTATTAAAAAGGGGTTTCATTATTTTAAATTCTTAAACGTCGAAATTTAGTATATTGTTACACTATTACTATCATAATCAACAATAAGAACTAATTGTTAGAGCATATCAGTATACGCCGCGCATATACAATGCAGGTGTATAACTGTTTGTCAGCGTATTGTTAGCAAGCAAATAACGACATGGAACATGACAACATAAACTATCGATTAATAACCAAAATGAAAAGTTAAATGCATACCTAATACCAAGAGACCAGATCGCCATCTAGAAGTCTCCCATGACGTAATTGTTGCGAGTATGTTTATCAAATAAAGTTAATCTTTCAATAGCACAGCATGAGTTGTGAACAGACTTGAAAGATTTGCAAATTAAACAGTAAATCAATAAAGCAAGAAGAAGAAAAAGAAGAAGAAAAAGAAGAAGAAGGAGGAGGAGAGGAGAGGAGAGGAAAAGAAAAGAAACAAAACAACTTTGTAATCTTGTTAAAATTTTAGTTAATATTTCGATGGATAGTTTCTTCCATTGTGAATTATCACTATATACTACGTATTGTAACCGATACTACTCAAACCAAGTCTAGACACTCTACTCGAGCATACGACTATCCTGAAATTGCTATTTTAAAAGCGTTTTTTCGCGTTTCCTTTTTTGTCTCCCCTTCTTTATTTTCAAGAAAGGAAAGTTTTTCAAATATCTGCTCGTAAATAACATCCTGTTGTCCGTTAATGGGTTGCCATTTTATCAAGGATTGGTTAATATTAAACTGTTTATTTTGCGTTCCGGAAACTGAAATTATAAATAGTAATGAGATAGACTCTATCAAATATACAGATCCTATCATTGAAAAATTCTTTCACTTTTGAAATTCTAAATCAAGTGAGAGATACTTTGGTAAACTAAACACAAAGGCACCTTGTGACTTTTTTGTTTTTAATTTTTTACTATAAATAGTACGAGCAACTTAGTTTGCCGCATGCGTTGCATATAGCATGAGGCCAAGTGGACTTGACCAATAAAAGACTCGGATTCAGCCAAGACGATGTATACCGATCTAGCCAAATAGTCGCTGTAGAAACATGCATCTCGACTGAGAACCTCAAGTACCGTGTTTTATAAAGGAAAACGTATCGGTATCTATCGTTTCTTGGCTTTCTTTCTTTTTCCCTCTCTGGATGGATGGAAAAAAAAAAGTAAGAATAAAGTTTGGTATGGGAAAACGTCGCATAGCGGAAATAGAGTAGTTACACAGATTGTATGCCTAGGAAATCTGTAAGAAGAATCGGGGAAACAACATTATAATGTTGTTAATATGACAATGTTGTGGCTCATCACACGAATAAGAAATTGTTGCCATATTTATTTTGTAGTCGTCTTGGCCTCATGTGACTTCTTATGGGTAATGTTCTAGGACCGTTAAGAGCTCTTGTAATTCCGAGCTCTTTAAAGTTGGTAGATAAGCGTAAGAAGGTTTATTTTTTAGTCTAATACTATTCAATTTTAGGACAAGGCACTTTACTTTAGAAAAAATCGTTTCTTGGCATTTATTTTAAACATTTGGCTCACAACATACATACATCTCTATATGCTATATTAATAGGACGTACTACGTAAAGTACCAGTATTTATCTTGCGATTTTGTGTATAAACCGCATTTAACAAAAATTCAATATCGATTAATATTTAGAATGAGTTTCAAGTGTGACGAAATAACCGTAGTACGCGTTAATTGACGATTGAAACCACTGTAACCGTTCTTAACAAAGAAGACACAACAGGGATTGTCATACAGAAGGTCAGGCATATCATCAAATTGGACTTTATTGTGTATGATTATATTTCCTTACTAAAGAAATTTTCAACGATAAATAACAAACGCCAGAATTTACGGGTCTGGATTTTTTGCTAAATTAAAGAGTCGATTTTTCGCACACAATGTTAAATTACTTTTCAGTTCTTTTTCGTGTGAGACGTAAGTCTGTTTTGTTGAATTTGGATTTTAAATAAATAAAAATTCAACGTTGTTGTAAACGAGCTAATAACAAGTTATCCAATCGAGAATATAATATGTTCTTCTTAACGTTCGATAAGGAGCGATTGTGCCCATCAAAAAAATTTTTTTTTTCCTTCTTACAATGGTTATCGCGCAAGCATGATAGTACGTGTGTTCTTGTCAATTATTGAGCAAAGATTTCGGAAACTACTACTTAATAAATTGTGCTGTAAGCGTTTTAGGGTAATATTTTATTTCGGGTTTTGTTAAAGATTATGATTCTATATCCATGCCTTTAGCATCCCGACAGCTCTGATCTGCGCTCTATTGTCACTTCAAACTAACTAGTGTAGATAAATATAAGTTTACACTTTCAGGGAAGATGATACGTATAATTTCCAACATACTGTCGTCTTGCTTTTCGGATGCGAACGTCACGATTTGTTTTTGATATATTTCCGTGCTTGTTTTGTCAAGTCCCTGAGCTTATCATCAAGCAGCTGTTTGAAATTATATTTAGCACAAAAAAGAGAATTGCAACTAAAATTAATTGTTTTTCGAACTTGGTTATCTCTAACCATTTGCTTCTTTTTGTTGTTAATTCATTAATGTCGACCTCTTTATTTTTATCTTCATCATAGATTTTTAAAAATTGTTTATTTTTTTTATTTAGATCTCTCCTCTAACCGCTCCAATTACTCTTCCTCTTATCATTCTTTCTCTAGCCTCGAACCGAGCCAGTGTTGCCATTAGTTTGTGACAATAGTTTGGTATGAACCTTGAAAACGGCCAATACATTGTACGAAAGCTATCGAGGTGTCCCTAAAGACAGGAAGACGCGTTTGATTATTAATTTATTACAACAGTCCTAAAACTGGATCGTTGCATATCCAAAAAGGGTGAAGAATCAGCCGGGTAAGAGACATGAATGCAAACTGACGTCTGGACATCTTACATGCTTAATATACCAACACCCGTAACCTTGGATATCAATTTACACGTAATTGATTGTCTTTCGCACGGAAACCGTTTTGCAACGCGTCAGTGATTCAGGTGCAATTCCAAACCGTAGAATCTCTCTCACATTTGTTACGACAATTACACACTTGCGTTCTCACAAAGCGGACAACAGGCGAGAAACAGCAAAAGGCAGCTCGATCGTGCGGTAATAGTTTAAAAAAAATGGATGCCAGTCAAATTTCTTTATACCGATAAAAATGACTAGTGCCATTCGTATTAGTATAGGGTTGATTGTATTGTGTATTTCAATCCGTATTGTCTTACGCAATGCCTCATATCAATAGCTTTGACTCGAGACATCTAACAAAGTTGCGTGACTGTATGTCAGTTTGGAATTATAATGTTAATATATACAGCATAGTTTTTTTGGTTCATAAGAAAGTAGACATTGTGATATTGCATACATGGGTTATGAGACCGATACGATGTATGATTATATCAATACAAAGGTATTATCTTGTAAGTACTCGTCTCTATTTGCTAAACAACAAATCGCATCACATTACAGTTGTTATTTACTAAATGTGGAAACTTCACAAGCAGAATCCATGTGAAGACAAGATTCTTACCAATACGCGTTAGACACAAAGCAGTTGCGTAGAATTCACAGTTAAAAGCGATTGTACCGAGTGTGTGTGGCGGATCAATTAATACGATTACTGGTCTAAATTGCAGGAACTAACTATTCAAACCAAGTCCGAACTAGAGACAGGACAAATGTATGCATTTAGAGATAACCCATAATAGTAAGTGGTATCGCTAGAACTTTCGGCAACAAAAATATTGTTTTGTTTTGTTGGTTTGCATGAGTAGATTCCCAGACATGGCAATGAATTTGTCAGCACAAATGCGTTAAGCAAAGTTCAAATTTCTACTACTATTGCAAACAAATACGCATACGGGACAATGAAATTGCTAATATGCTGCCACATATTAATATCTTTTTACCAATTAACCATATTGTAAATGAACACGTTGCGTTAATAATAATGTACTAGCAGCAGTATTTCTTTTTGCAAGCAAAGAGTGAGTGTACCAAATAAAAGACTGTATGGTAATCTTCAGTGAGCCGTCAAGTCGATTTCGTCAAGACAAACTTTCTGGCCCAAGTAAGTATGACAGTAAATTGTAACGATCAATAGCAAAAGGTTCTAGTCTTTGGTATATTACTTGAGCGCAATCATGATTTTATCGCTTGTAAATGCACCAGTATTTTAAATGCGTCGAATTTTTTTTACGCATTAGATGAGACGATGAGATATCGACATCTCTTCAAGCGAACTCCTTTAACCGCTCCGATGGATTATAATTGGCAGAACAATTAGGCAGTGTAAACATTGTCTCGTCTTTTCGAAGCTCAATGAATGTTATAGTTAGTCACAAGTCCAAGATCCTAGTTAAGGCTTTCTGTATTTGGTAGCTTTTTGGTATCAAGCTCGATTAATTTATCAATGTTACACAGTTAACTTATTTCCTTTTCACAGAAATTTCACCCATCATTCTCGGTGTAACATTCTGGATGTTTGTAAAAAAGGATATCCAATCAACTTGCTTACTTACCCTTTACAAATAGCACCTCCTTTACCTCCTTTTTAAAAAGCATAAATTTTGCGGATATGCATTTAGAGAAGCGTGACTGTATTATTGATCGATCGATCGTCCGAAAGGTGACAGAAATAAAAACGCCTCAAGATAATAATCTGAATAGACGCTTGTAATGAATAATAGATAATAGATAATAGATACTTACAACAAGGTTCTATTTTCTCATATCACGTATTTGTGTATTGTTACTAAGGCCTTATGCTCTTTGGTTAGCGATCAAAGGCAAGGGGCGAAATGTAAGAGTTTAGTGGAATCTGTTACAGTCTGCTGCCGTTTCCCATGTATTGTTAAACGTTTGTTGAATCACACATTATCGTCATTATTAGTAGAATTAACACAAATTATATATGGCTCTTCATGCATTAATATAGCAGTCAATTCACTGTCCGCTGTACTTGTAAAGATATGCGATCTAGGCCAATAAATCTTGTGCGATCTGAAACCATTGTCAGCAAGTAAATTTTTCTTATTATAGTTAGCGCAAACTTTTTTTCAGTGTCTTCTTTGTTTGGGAATCCCGCGGTTCCACCAACAATGTGAACCCCGCATTTGATATGATGTGGCTAGGAAAAGTCCAAAATATGGTCGAGTCGCTTGGTCTAAAACTAAGCTGTACATCACGAATCCGGAAAATATAGTCAACGTTACCGAGACAAAGTCGACACCTTCCAAGTTTTGCTTCAATTCAAACCGTCTTGTGACGTCCCCAGCCACATTTAGCCACAGCCAACACAGTGGTTTTGTCGAGTTCCCCAAAAATAACTAAAAGCTTTAAACACGACCGTCTTGCATAGTCTTGGCTTTATACCTTAAGTGACAACGCTAAAGGCATAAATCTCAGTTCAAACTTGAATTAGAGTAACATAGTCAGGATGATGCCAGTGGTGTCGCATCCGAGAACAAGCAACTACAGCAGAGGGAACGGGCAAAACCATCGTCAAAATGGTTACGAAAGCAGTAATAGGTATAGTAGTTATTCCCGTCGCGGCAACGGATATGACACTGGTCGCGGCGGTTATGACGCTGGTCGCGGTGGGTATGACGCTAGTCGCGGTGGATATGACGGTGGTCGCGGTGGATATGACGTTGGTCGCGGTGGATATGACAGTGGTCGCGGTGGATATGATAGTAGTCGCGGGTATAACGGATACAGCAGTCGTGGAAGAAGCCAGCGGCTAGACCTGAAAGTTAGCAATTTACAACCAAATGCTACTTTGGCTGAATTGAGAGAATTTTTCTCGGGCTACGGTCACTTGGAGAAAATCACTATGGACACGCGAGAATTGGGCACTGTTTTCACCGGGACAGTATACCTTTTGTACAGGTGAGGTTTGTTTTAAATAAATGCGTATGTTTGATTGACTTGCAACGATACAAATTATAATATCAAAACTGTGTAATTTATTTGTTTTGCTCGTTCCGAAAGACCGCCACCGGAAACGGAATTTTGGAAACAGACCCCGAGATTTCATGGCAAGCAGTTGCGCATAGAGATCACATCGCCACCCAGATATGAAAACGAGCAAAATTTCTCAAGAGAACGCAGAAATGATTTCCTACAGGCCAAGTCTTTGGAAATGGGTTTATTCGTTCAACAAGACACCTTCGTTAAAGAGTGGAAAACAGACAATGACGTAAAGTTTAAGCTAAACTACTCAAGGCGCAGTCTTGAAGCCGAATTTGGTTTTATTAAGGGGAACAACGGCAAGACATATCGGTTTCGACTCGAAACTTACTTTAATGACGTTGATGGTGATTTCCAAACAGAACTCGATACACAGAACGAGCAGGCGCGCGCCGTAACTACAATACGAACGAAATTCCCACCAAAATTATCCTTCCTGAATGAGAAACTAGAGACGAGGAATCAGTTTGAATGGAATTCAATGGAGTGTTGGCAGAGGATGACCGCCGTCCGGGTAGGGAAACCTAGCGATGAAGAGCTCCAGCAGCCGACGATGCCATCGTATCCAAACGCTACAGGCGAAGAACTTGGCAGATGGTACGCGTACAGGATTACGTTCATTCTTGACAAGTTTAGAGGAGTCGGCAAGCTCAAGGAAATGTTATTAAGGGCTGCCGAGTTTAATCTTGTATCAAGAGAAGCGATGTTTTCCGGGCATATAAATATTGTCGATGGAAGCAATATGAAAAAATATGTTGATAGGTCAATGCTGGACTTTGATGTACTTTATATGTTGGAATGTATTATTACACACGGTTTCATGCACGACTACAATCTCAACGATGAGTTCATGGAAGAGCTTCATGCTCTAAAGAAAGAGGCAGCTCTTGCCATTTTAGAGAAATTCTATCAACGCAAGACGAGAATTTATAATCCTCTCGAACAATTGAGGAATGAAATTTCTAAACTTCGAGGGGGTGACAAGCAAGAGACGGTGCCCTCGTACTGTGTCATGATGCGAAAGGTTGTCATTACCCCTTCCAAAATGTACATATTACCGCCAACTATGGAGACAAGCAATAGAACAATCAGATATTTTAAAGATCACAAAGAACGTTTCCTAAGAGTTCAATTCAATGACGAAAATGGAAAACTTCCATCGGCTAATGGAGATAACCATGTCTCAGCTTTCAATAGGGTTCATTTTACTCTCGTGAACGGGATTCAGATTGGAAATAGAAAGTACGAATTTTTGGCCTTCTCTTCAAGTCAGTTACGAGATCGTTCTTGCTGGTTCTTTGCCCCCACAGATAAATTAAGCGCTGATGACATACGCAAGTGGATGGGGAATTTAAGTGGCATCAAAGTAGTGGCAAAATACGCTGCACGCATGGGACAATGCTTTTCGAGTACTCGCGCAGTGACTCATCTACCTGTGAGCGATATTCAAACCATCGATGATATTACGAGAAATGGATACAATTTCTCCGATGGTTGTGGAAAGATATCACCAGCGCTATGCCAACAAATTGCTGAAGTTCTCGATCTAAAAAGCACCCCTTCTGCTGTACAATTCCGTCTGGGTGGGTACAAAGGTGTTTTATGCATGTCTCCATATGTTCGAGAGAAACAAATCCAAGTTCGACCGAGTCAACGCAAGTTTGACTCACCGCATACCGAGCTGGAAGTCATAAGAGCGTCGACATTTTTGCCTGCGTATCTGAACAGGCAAGCCATTACCCTCTTGTCCACTCTCAAGGTCCCCGATGAAGTATTCATGGAGATGAGAGATGCGCAAGTAGAAGATCTTGATCGCATGCTTCAAAGTGAACATAGTGCTATGCAGGTACTGTTACGGTACATTGACGAATGGGGTGTCTCACGTCGACTAGCTGATATGGTCAGAGCGGGTTTCATGCGACAACAGGATCCTTGGTTAGCCAATTTATTATCACTGTTTCGTACCTCGTGTCTTCGTGATCTCAAAAATAAAGCGAAGATATTTGTCGACGAGGGAGCCTTTCTTTTAGGAGTGGTGGACGAGACTCATTCACTGAAAGAAGATGAGATATTTGTATGTATCTCGGACCCAAATAACCCTTCCGTGAGGAATGTGGTAACGGGCACCTGTGTAGTGTTCCGTAACCCTTGTTTCCACCCTGGAGATGTAAGAGTAGTTACAGCAGTCAAATGTCCAGAACTCAAACATTTAGTTGACGTTTTGGTATTTCCAGCAACTGGGTACAGGGATTTACCAAACATGTGTAGTGGAGGTGACCTGGATGGAGACGACTTTACGGTGATTTGGGATAAACGACTAGTACCACCAGAAAAGAATTTTGCACCCATGGAATATCAAGCGCCAGAGCCGTTTACTGTGGAAAAGGTTACGGTTGATCATATCAAAAGATTCTTTGTGAATTACATTCTCAATGACAATCTTGGCCAAATAGCAAATGCTCACGTGGCAAAAGCAGATAAAGAATCAGTAGGCGCTATGCATGGAAACTGTTTGCGACTGGCGCAGTTACATTCTGAGGCGGTAGACTTTCCTAAAACGGGTGTCCCTGCTGAATTCCCAAAGGAACTGCGTGTAAGCGAATATCCGGATTTTATGGATAAAGCGGATAAGCCATCTTATGAATCTAAAAAGATTCTTGGAAAATTGTACAGATCCATACAACTTCAATCTGTTAACTTTTCCCCGCAGACGGGCCTTAAATTTGATCAACGATTATTCGTGGATGGCTATGAACAGCATCTGGAAGACGCTCGTCTTACGAAACGTGCATATGATGCAGACGTAAGCGGCCTAATGAATCAATATGGCGTTGCGACCGAACACGAGGTTGTCAGTGGATTCATAGTCAACTCTACCATAAAGGTAGAGCAAAAGAAGCCGCGTGAAGTACAGAGAGCGGTTAGTGAAGCGATGACCGCTATTCGACGCAATTACCGCAAAAAATTTGAAAAAGATATATTTGCCGAATATTCGGTGAAATCAGCAGCCGAGGCTAAAAGCCAGGTGGACATTAAGAGCAAACTAGAAGCTAAGGCTTATGCTTGGTATTATGTTACTTATCATCCAAGCGAAAGAGGGGATGAGGCTTCGGATGGCATGATTTCCTTTCCGTGGACCGTTGATGACCATTTATGTGATATTGCCATTCGCAATTCTGGCCGAGTCAAAGCTTTAGAAGACGTTTATCGCGGACCTAGGTCAGTCGTGCATACGTCGTATCAGCAGCGACCATCGTCAATGAGGCGTAATGGTAGTAGCAGTACACAGATAGAAAGAGTTGTGAATGTCAACATCCCAGGCGAGGAGCCAGCTAGTGATGGTGGAATATCTAGAATTCGGATGTCATTGCGACGGAACGGAATCTAGAATCCCCAATCCAAAGTAATCTTGTGAAACTTCACTGACAACATAGAAACGAAATCTAATAATTGATTTTCTACAAGTTGTCGAATTTTAGGAATAGGTTTGTTTTTTATAAGTATCTCTTTACGAAATACTAAGCAGGACAATACAAGCATTTTGTGAACATTTACACGTAAATGCAAAAATATCGCTTGCATTTTAAGTTCTTATATAGTTTGAATAAAAATATAAAAAATTTTTTTAACAGTAACCTTTTACTAGTATAATTTAATCAAACTCTATGGAAAAGTAACTAGGGAATACGAATTCCTCATCGATCACATTTCTCAATTGATCTACGATAAATCTCTCAACTTTGCCAACATTTTTGAGAACTGCAGAGAAAAATGGATTAATATTCGTGCATTAAATTTGTGAGAAAAGAATGCAAATCAATCCGTATAATAACCTTGCTTTTCTTTATTTCCGACTTCTGATTCTATGTGAACGTCTTTGAGCAGACTAGAGACATAAACAAATCCACGTTCAGTAAAAGCGCAAAATCGAACAACGATGATGGTTAATCTGATAATGACCTTTCGTTTGGAGTCTTGGGTTCAAGGAAACAAAAGTTTACTCGCCGCTGAAGATAGGCTATTACTGCAGTTGCTACAAATCAGGCGGTATGTTCATCACGTAAACAGGTAAAGAAATTAGTTTCAATTCAATTTGCAATCCTTTGTGTTCCGAGGTTCCTTCTTTCTCGATCCTCGATTGAACTAGATGCAAATTTACCATGAAAGCTGAATCCTGTTATGCTTAATCTCACGGGCAAACTCATAAACATTGAACTCGGATAGTTCATTCTCAGTTCTGTTGCCACGGTCATTCTCATATCTCCCTCATATTTCATCTCTACATGCATTTGAGCATCC